GGATTCATCTAGCCAGCCTGTCGAATTCCTCCTAGTCCAGCGCGAAACAAATCAACTCTCTCTCTCTCGAATATGGAGCCTGGAAACCTCGAAAAGCCTTTTAAAGTAACCATTGTCGGCGATGCAGGGGTTGGCAAGGTAGAAACGCGGCAAAGCATAAGCATATGTGGTAACTAGCTCGGATCAGATATTGACTATTTTTGTAGAGCAGCTACATCAAAAAGCAGTTCTCACCGGATTTCAATCGAGACTACCTCCAAACAGCTGGCTATGAAGTCTTCCGCTGGTCTAGGAATATGGTATGTAAACATCGATCTATCCGCTTAACTCAAGTTACGTGGAATAAGCTAAAAGAGATCCTGCTCTCTTTCTATTTTTAGTCCGCTGGCCGTGTGAACCTAGAGCTTTGGGATGTATCTGGCAGCCAAAGTAAACTCCGAGATCGTCAGTCATGGCTTCGAAGCAGCGACGCTGCGATTATCATGGTCGATATAGCACAGCCGATTACTTTCGAAAACGCTCTTCGCTGGTATGGTAGGTCTCAATCTATATTCCCGTGGTTGATCACGATAATGATAGTTCCTATCTTTCTAACACTTCTTCACATAGAGGAACTACTATTGGCAAATCCATCGGGTCTCCCGGTTGTCGTATGTACATGGAAGCCCACATCCAAAGACAAAATGCTGGATGTAGACCCCGAGACACTTCTCTGGCTCGGCGAGACAGAAGACGTACAGTTCTATGATGTTGCATCCGATATTTCACGCTTCGATCAGCCACTTCTGTGCATTGTGCGGAAGTTAATGAATGATCCTGATGCGGTATGTGATGTTGACTATTGTCAGAGGATATATAAAGCTAACGATATACACCTGCAGAGTTTTTGGTTTCCATATACATTAACGGATGATGATCTGGAGATACATGACTAAGGGACTCGGAGGAGATGGAATAGTACTAGTATATGAAATCTCGGTGTCAAATAATTAATACTTTGATTCGGTTTATCTAATATTTGATACATTTAATAGCGGCTAAACTGAGGGTTAAATCCAAGCTGTGCAGCTAGCTAGAAAGCAAAGAAACAACGCAAAACAAACTAGAAACAGAAACATCGGCACAGTCTTGTTCGAAAGACAATTCATGAATTAACTATATTTTTAAAATCATTATACTCTAAATTCTGGCCCCAACTAATTGCTGTCTAAAACAATGACTTCCGCATCCGCATCGCCAACGCTCTCGACGCTAAACGCATCACCCGCATTGACAAGGGTGATGAAGGCACCATCACCCTCCTCAAGTACAGAGTCCTCGAGGCCATTGAGCTTGACCTTGGCCTTGCCTTGCTTGGTCATCGGCAAGTGGACATAAACATTTCTCTTCTTCTTAAAGCTAACAGCATCACCGGCTCCGACGGTCCAGTTGAATGTCGATCCTGGCTCGATGATACCAGCTCCCATGACGAAATCAGCATGAATGGGAATCGTATCGGGAATCTTGGGCGTAGCAGCTTCTTCCTGTGCTGGGGTAGCTTCGGGGCCCGCGGCGAGAGGTGACAAAATAGGGACGAAAGCTTTGCGCTTAGCCTCCTCACTGAAACTCTTGGTGTGATATTGAGGCTTCAGGGAGCTGGCCCACGGCAGAGCCCAGATTTGCAAGAAATGAACAGGTTTGTTGGATTCGTTCTGTTCGGAATGGGCGATTCCTGATTGGTATTGATTAGCTTCGTTCGAGTAAAGATGTGGGGGGGGAAAAAAAAACTCACCACTTCCTCCGGTTGTGAATTGCACATCACCTCGCTTCATGCGGTAAAAGTCTTTCCCTTGTTCACCCTCGGCGCCCTTTTTGATCATGCTATCGCGGTGCGTGAGCTCGCCACTTAAGATGTAGCTGAAGATCTCGGCATCGCGATGCGGATGCGTCGGGAAGCCGTTTCGGGCGGAGACACGGTCTTCGTTCAAAACGCGGAGACTTCCGAAGTTCTGGAATCGGCGGTCGAAGTAGCTGGCGAAACTGAATGTATGGTAGGAGTTCAACCAGCCGTGATCCGCATGTCCACGTTCAGCAGAGCGTCGAAGGACGACCTTGGCGTGAGAAAGAGGCTTTGACATTGTAGATTGAGCGGTGTCCAACTTGAATGTTTGTGTGCGATTTATATTGTTGTGGTAGTAGTAGACTGTAGATTGATGTGTTCAAAAATTGTGATTTGCGACCAAAGTGGGCGTGGAATGGGTCTTATATAGTCAGTAATTCCCAGCAAGTGGACATAGAAAACCGTTTCTTCGTATTATCCAAGCATTATCGAGCATCAATCAGCGCGCTAGTCCCAAGTAAGCCTAGCGTTGCACTATTTTGCTGAGCGATTGCTGACTCTTGATTACGTGCGGCTCCCTATTGGCCACGGAGCGCAAACATGACGAACTCCTTTCCAGATCCCATCGACAAACGCCGCACGAACGCCAGCTTAGAAGATGCTGAGATTGAGATGCGGGGCTAATTGATAAGTAAAAATAGCGTCCTCTAGAAGCCTCGACTCAATTCAGGAATTTTCTGCCGGCTCCAACTCTCAGTCACGGCATTCTGCCATATTTCGACGACTTCGAGAAAAAGAAGCAAAAATAGGCGGAGAAAGGCCTGTCTTCCTGGAAAACCTGGAAATGAACACCAGAGGAAACGTCTTGAGGACATTGACGTCGGAATTCGGTTCTTCAGTATCACCCTGGAAGTTTTAGCATTATTATATCGGGATATCTCAAGCTCCAACCTTTCAAGGTTAATTGTTAAATGGCGTTGTAAGCTGTCTAATCGTGATGATTTCCACCGCGGGCAACATACAAGACCCAAGATCTCCGATTCTCTGCGACTGATCACAGATGACATGAGCTTGCGAGCAGATCTTGATCAAAGGATGATGGCCATGGACGGGGAATACTCGTACTAAAGAAAAAAAGATCGGTGCCACATGTCATTAGAAGTGGCCGTGCACGCTTCGAGTTTCTCGATTCCTGTCAGCGACCATCCAAACAGGATAACGTATTGGATCGTGGCGTCCATTGCGGATACAGAATTAAACCCTCGGTGCTAAGCGAAGACCCTGACACCAGTGGAGTGGCATCGGCGGATTTTACTATTGTAGTTAATGATCGGCTGGCCCCTTTTGTTGTTCTCCTTCAACGCCGATCGGATCACAGTGAGAACGTATTCCGAGCACCGAATACGCTGCCTTCATGTGATGTGGAGAGGGATCGACAGTGGCACGGCGAGCCCCATGGGGGTGCGGTGCGACAGTCGCTCCGAATAAATCCTTGCAAATTTCCCAACAATGATTTCTCTTCCTTGCAGCATCTGTGAAATCAGCATCCAGACCGAGCGCCGACCGCAATAAAATGGGAAGCAGCCGCACTGCAGCCCCTGACCGCAACAACACTCACCGTTGACCTCGGCCTTTACTCAAAGTTTAACGGCGTTTGACAGGAGGCTAGGAAAGCCAAATTAGATCCGCGAGTCATTAACATGTCGAAATCCGATATTGAGCACAGCTCAGACTCCGAGGCGAATGGTGTTACCGCTGCCACCGCGCCAAAGCCGACTCTGTGGCAACGATTCAAGGCGCATATGAAAAAGTGGTGGTGGGTGTATTTGATTGCGTTCGGTGTCATAGTACTGGTGACAGTACTACCCATGTAAGGCGTTCACCTTACTCGCTAAAATGGATCATACTAAAGACGATAGAATCTACGTGGGAATCCCTCATTTCGCCAGCAAATACATCAACAACTACGAGTACGACACCGAGGGACTTGAAATAACCAACCCTCGACCCACTGCATTCCATGTCAAGCAGAAGAAATCTTTATCCATGGGTGGTGGCTTCAGCGGCAGTGGATACCTAACGGCTTTCAACGCAAGCATCCGCACAACGGATACCAACGAGGAGTTTGCTATCTTCCCCGTGCCAAAAATCGATTTCAGTGACGGCGCAACCATTGAATTTGACACGGATCTGGACTTGACCTGTGTTGAGTGCTTGTCGAAAATTGCTGTTCAAGCAGCTACCGACGAGAACTTCGCGATACTGGCAACGGCACACCCAGATTTGAAGCTCAGTGGACTCCCAACTGCCCATCTGGATATTCATAAGACGATGAGTATGGACGGTTATAATGTAACCGGTATGTGTTGAATACCAATTCGACTTTCCCGGTACTGTCTCTGACCTTCTTAGAATTCGTGAACGAGCAGGGGTCCTTTAATGTGACCAGCTTGAAGCTTCTTGACCCCCCGGTTGATGGTTATAACTTCAATGCAACCATCTCCGTGCGCAATCCGACTCCCTTTAGCGTTGAAATGGTATGTACTAGATTCATCGTGCAAAAACATGCATTGCCGCTAACAATAATAGGGCCATGTGACTTTTAACCTGACCTTGAGAGGGGATAAGCTCGGTTACGTCGACTTGCCAAACTTGAAACTTGGAAGTGATATCACCGACACTCTGGTGCGCGGACAGGTCGATAAGTCGAAACTTGTCGAGGAAGCTTTATTGGGCGATGGCGATGGCGCTACAGTCACTATTGGTATTCATGGGCACAGCTGTGAGTATAACGGACAGGATATTCCATATTTCAGCGCCGCCATAAGAGCTGTTTCCGCAGACGCGCAGATTGATCTGCTCAAATATGCATCAAGTCTATTGTAATAGAAGTATACACAAGATTTAAATACTACGAATATATGAGAACGATTCAAGATCAGATCAAACAGGGAAAGAGGCTATGTTGGTAATTATTCCTTAAATTATTGTCAGTGGAGATAGTAGTGCAAGTGCCAAATCGGCCGTGTATCACAGGCTATGCATTAAAGGTCAGATTAGAACGCGTATGCGTAAAAAACCATATATCGAAGGGTAACCAGAGCCAATTCCGTGGCAGATAGAAATGCGAAATGGCGGACCAATAGCCGCAAGTATCGCTGAACGCTAGATAAAAAGGGTATCATGTAATGATTTTTTTGAGTTCGCGGAGGGACAATGGTTTGATGAGGTAACGATCAACCCCGGCAGCCAGGGCCTGCTGATGCATAGCATCCGAGGCGACTCCGGTCACTGCCATGATGCAAGATGGCTTGAATTTGTTTGCTTTTTCAAACCGTCGTATCTTGCGTGTCGAGACCAGGCCATCCATGACGGGCATCGATATGTCCATCAAGACATAATCATACTGGCGATCGCATTCTTTGTATTTCTCCAGTGCAATCAATCCGTTGGAAGCAGTGTCATAGGTGCATCCCACTTTGCGCACGAATGTGGCCATAATCTATTGAATTTAGTAAAAGGAACTGGCCTGGGTATGATATTGACGCACCTTGAGATTGATTTCATTATCGTCCACAACCAAAACATGGCATTGCTTTTGAGCTGCCAAGGCCCGAGCAGGCTCGATAAAATGGGGCATCTTGATTTCAAATTCCGCTGGCGGTGCTTCTTTAGTATGAATGGAAAGTTGCTCCATTGAATGAACATGTGGCGGATCGAGGGGTTTTGGTTTCTTGGTGATTGGGTTGATGTTGAGGTCAGCTTGCGATCGACGAAGAGCTGAAGCTTTTTCAATTGCACTTTGTATTTTCAGCGGGCCAAAAGGTGGTGCAACCCAGATGACATTCGGCAGATTTTTCTCGAAACGAGAAGGCTTGGTCTCTAGGATTAACAAGAACTGGAACCTATTTGTTGAGATAATGCTTGGCAGAGAATCCGGGGTGGCGATCTCTTCAAGGGTCGAGCTCTCAAGGACAGCGATATCACCTTGTCCCTTCTCGATTGATTCAGCCAAAGAGACTGTCCAACCAGTCTTTGACATGACAACATCCGCAAGCATCCCCTGAATTGACAGCTTGCGCTTCGACTCAGCGGTCAGCATTCCAGTCGGTGTCTCCTTGATGTCTGGATAGCCATTGAAGGCGACCAAACAGACCTGAAGCGGTGGAGGGCTTTCGGTCAGATTTGAGGAATTTTGGACCAGGTCATCACCGTTGAGATGTTGAACAGGAATGTAAATATCGACCTGCGTTCCTAATCCAAGCTCACTTCTGACGTTAATATGCCCATTCAGCGACGTGACAAGTTGGCGAACAATGCTAAGCCCTAGCCCGACACCTTCGACCAAGCGATCTTCCTGAGAGAAGGGAGTAAAAAGGTCGTGTTTGAGAAATTCAGGGGCAATACCCCGGCCGGTGTCGATGACTGAGATATGCGCAATGGGATTGCCGGGGACCTCGGGATTTCTGAGCATGGACAATGAGACTTCGATCACTCCTTGAGCCGTCCACTTCAAGGAATTTCCGAGAATATTCATCACTATCCTCCTCCAAGCCCCTGGGAGAGATCGAATTTTCCAAGAATGTGATTGATTGGTTCGCACAACGACCGAGGGCTTCTCTGGGCTGCAGGCTGATTCTGCATTGCTGTGAGTGTCTGTCGAAGGTGACACGATTGCAAGGCGAGAAAAAAGGCTAGGATCCTTTTGACCAGTATAGAGTATATTGGTAACTTCCTCAACTAGCAATGCCAGATCGAAATCGGTTTCCAAGACGAGTAATTCATTATCATGGTTGTTCCCTCTCACTTTCTTGGCCCGGCGACTATTGTTGATTTTGCAGTAGGTCAGGAGGTGATCTGTCGTTTCAAGTAGCGTCAAACCCGAAGTTTCTACCATTTTTACCATTTCCTGCTGTGCAGAATCGATTGACGTTCCATGGAGTAACTCGGCACTTGCCAGGATGCCATGGAGCGGGGAACGAAGCTCATGACTCAGAGAGGACAGTAAATCAAACTTAGACTTTTCCGTTGAGATCCAGTTGACTCGTGATACCTCCGAGATGATCGAATGGGCAAAGACCTTGAAGTAATGCAACTCTTCCACACCAAGACCTCGATGGGTATTGGAGCTCCATGAAAGCATACCTGCCATCCATCGTGACTTCTGGTGATCCCACAGCGGAAGCCATAGCACAGATTGAGCGGTAGGGAAAAGAGGCTTAAGTATTCTGGCGACGTCAAAATTGTTTCTATGTCTGGACTGCGATTCATCGGTCGCAGGCCCGAGGGAGGATCCGTTATCGCTTTCAGACCCAATGTCGAGATTCACGACTTGCCCTTGAGGGCAAATTTTGAGCAGTGTGTCGAGCAGTTCCTCGTCTAGGATCACTTGACTCTCTGTCGCTGCAACCTCCGAATTCTGCCGTTTGAAAGACTGTCCTAGAACCTCGCACTGCCCTTTAGGCCCAGGCTGTTTATCTGAAATAAATGGGGTCGGACATGGGTTGAGATAATCAAGTTGGCTGGCTAATTTTGGCAGAGGTTCCCATGTGTGGTCTCCCTTCGGTAGACTATTGTATGTTAGAGCTATTCTTAGTAGAGGTTCAGGATAACTGACAGGGAGGAACTGCTTCTGGCTCCATCCAAAAACATCACACCATCCAGATTCATTGCATCTCGTAATAATACACTGGCGCGGGAGAATATCGCTCGAATGCGATCCAGTGTCGTGATACCATCTGACAATGATACGAGAGATTCGTTGTTTGGCGCGATTTTGGTCGCTAGCACTAACGCTTCATTGAGTGAATCAAGAGATCTTTCTTCGCCTGGGCTTGGTTGGCCCAACGATAAATTGGATTGAAGCGAAGAAGGCTCTGTGGAGCCAGAGGGTTTATCAGCAAATAATAACGGCGATTTAGAATCCGCTTGGAAAGCGGACGATGACTGCGAGTCGAGCCCAGTTCTACTCTCACTTCCATCGATATGGGAATCATCGAAAGAGAAATCCTGATCAGCCGTCGCCGCTGGTGGTATAAATTCATGAACTGTGGAGTTTGCCGATTCAGTCAGGCTTCCACTTGGGCTTCGTGGGTCAAAATCAGGTTGATCTTTGGAGAAGTCGGTCAGCCCAGTCACCAGACGCTCAAATCTGGAATGGTAATGAGCTATGCGCTTGTTCTCGAGATGATTGCCGATTGCATCTGATATTTCTTGAAGGGTCTGGACATCTTCCTCGCTGAAGTCGTCGCGTGGCTTATCATCGACAACGCAATATGACCCAAGGACATAGCCAGCTGGACTGGTCAGAGGCACTTCCGCATAGAAGCGCATAAAAGGCCACTCGAGTACGTAAGGTCTATCCTTGAAGCAATCCTCCCGAGTAAAGTCTCGAATAATGTAACGCGTGCGGTTGGCAGTCACATTCTCTGTGTCGACTTCGTATGCCTCGTCTTGGGCAGTGAACAAGCGGATCGTATGCGGGCAAACCCCCCCAGACCAGGTCCAAAGCTCGAACCCCAAGGTATATCCCATCATTTGGAAGGTGTTTATCGACATCTCGGATCGAGATCGAGGCGGTGGCTTCAGCAATGATATGCTGATTATCTCCATCAATGAGAGATACAAAAGAACGATTGCATTCCAGACGATGAACACCAAGTTGGGCCAGTGCTGTCAACGTGATGTCAGCTGACAGGACACCAGCACTGGGCTGTTCATCTCCAGTAGGGGCGTTGTTAGATGAATCATTTCCGTCGAAGGTGGTAACTGTTGGCGACGGGGACTGCTGGTTTGTACAGCAATAATATCTGGTTTGGTCAACACATGAAAATGATCTGCGCCCGGCGGGGAAGTCCCGCGGCATAACGAACCTTGACAATTCGCGTATTCGCTCTTTCTCGGGGTCAGATGGGCGCGACTGGAAAGCTAATGAGCCTGCGAGAGCCATTCTGCTTGCCGGACATTCCTGATTTGCCTCCCTTGACGGTATAATCACGAACAAAGACGGGGGTGGGACTTCTGGGGAATAAATGGGAACCACGCAGAATAGAAAACATTTCAAGCGAGATTTAACACTGAATTTGCCGCCGCCCCGCCGACTAGTTTCTTCTCCAGCGACATCCGACAGATTAATCGTGGGCACGCTCGGGAATCTCAACCGGTTTCTGCGCTCCACGGCGGTCTAGACGCCGCCTCGCAACATCGTGTGACAGCCACTGCCTGCTGCTTGAAATTGAGATAGTGGTATTTAGTCAAGATTCTTGGGCCGATACTCGGGTAGAAGAATTCCACATTGACATGTCGATTTCCCAAATTTCTACGAGCATAATCTACTGATAGCAACTTGAGGTAGTTACTAGTTAGTAGTCATAAACTGCCCTTGTTTGACTCGGATATTTTTGCCCAGTTTATAATTGTAACTTTGCATCGTGTTCTGTAGCATATGGCAATTATTTGTCAAACTAGTTGAGATTCAGATCAGTTCAACCTAAGGACCTTTTTCCGTACTAGTAGCTCTTGTTCTGTCTGCTGGGTGAAATTAAAACTCCACTGGTCGGATAGTGCATTCATTTGTTTTCAAGGTCTCTACTCGTAGCAGCCATGAGAAGCTCATCATCGAAAATAATAGAGCCAGAGAGAACGCACCATCGACAGAAAAGGAGAGATATTCTATTTAAGAATAAGCAAGAAATAAAATAAAAACAAAAACAAAAACAAAGAAAAGCAAAGAAATGAGCGGGCCCAGATCTACCCAGAAAGTTTAGTAGAGAACATTGACACGCCGCTAATCCGTATTCTACTGTTGGAGATAACAAATCGCAGAAGCACACGGCTTCTATCGTTGTTAGTGGCCGACGGTCGGCTGAGCATGGCGAGTTTTGACTTAGCAATGACCAAGGACTCAATTGGAGAAGAATCAACTTTAAACGCGGTACCTCGGCCTAATGGGACCCATATTGCGGGGAAATGTTTTATCAGGGGTTGAAGAAAACCAATGTGCTTACGCTTCACTCATGGACCCGGAATTCAGAGTCCGAAAATGCATTCCTTAGGCTTGTTGACACTGCCATAGGCGAAAACAAAAATGCGACCAGAAAGTCCCCACATGCTCGAATTGCGAGTCCGCCAACCAGCCCCGTTCCCGCGCAGAGAGCACTGGGTGGCACCATGGCATGTCCGAGGGAGCACTAGCTCATCGTATTGGGATTCTTAAGGCTCGCTTAGCTGCAACTTTAACGGGAGATGTTCCTCGCGTTGCTGAGCGCCCTGAGCCGCCGTCGACTTCCACCGCACCGCATGAGTCAAAGCGCGCACACGGTCACTTTGATGGGCTTTTGCGCTTTCTAACACTTGGTACTCGAGAGAATAACGAGCCCGCATATCTAGGCCCATCTTCGGGACTTCGATTGTCGATTCTGTCGCTACGAATTCACTAAAGTCACTAGTTACCCAGCACCAACCAACAGTTGGCAGATACGTCTCAAAGTGACTCGGATGAAAACACAATGGCACCCCTTCCTAGTGATACAAATGGATCTGGGATCCTAGATGCATATTTTACCCATTTTTATATCCGCCTCCCTTTTGCTCGACCGCGCAAATTTGAGAAAGAAAAAAGAAAAAGAAAAGAAAAACACTAGAACTAGTACATAGTAAAAAATATACCACCCGTGGGATGCGACACCGCAAAATGAATTCGAAATGTTCAAGCTTTCGAAGTTTTATGGTCTATATAATCGGAGCTACGATTCTACATGACTGGGGCTTATGATTCAACACCACCGAATAAATTTTCGATGGCAGCTTTGAATTTCGATCGCACTCCGCGTGAGTCTCTATGGGTGGCGTCTATATAGGCCATGATGCTCCTCGTTGTTCACAGCCTGCGATCATGCTCAAACCCCAATATGTGGTATATGATTAGACTCGAAATGACAACCTGTATTGATTTTGGGTTTCACAGAGAAACTCACCATATTTGAGTTTCGACTGGGAACTACTGGTATTTACTAGAAGCAGAATACCAGTATGAGCCTGGGAATAGGAGACAGCCGAATTTATTCTGCCCCTTCGGTTTCATTCGCAGTAAATGATTTCCTCAGAAAGAACCCCATCAAAGCGTCCCTAAACTCTTCTGGTGGTCCCATACGCAGCCCTCCGTCTATCGGCAATCGGAATTTACCAGAAAAGGCATCTGTTTCGTGGTGACGCAGTGCCAAGTGGGTCAACAAGCTAGGCAAATTGGAGTATGAGATGCGGTTTGAGTTTCTATGTAATGACGACCAGACTCTAGAATATAAATTAGAGCCCCTCCTTGAAATAAAATATTTCACTCGTACAATTATCCAAGATAATCTTTCAATCCCGGGCCTCACAAAATGACACATCAGCACGTTGAGCCATCCTTCGCCGACAGAACCGACTTTGAAAACGCCCAGCGCGGCTTCATTGGTGCACTCGACCCCTGTACCATCACTGCACAGGACGGACGTGTGGTATGGAATAATGAAGAATACAATTTTCTCAAATCCGAGTGTCCCGCAACGGCCAACCCGAAACTATGGCGACAAGGCCAGTTAGCTTCCATACAAGGACTCTTCGAAGTCACGAAAGGAGTCTACCAAGTTCGCGGACTGGATCTCTCAAATATGACCCTCGTCGAGGGAAATGAAGGTGTTATTGTCATCGACCCTCTGACGGCGGTGGAATGCGCTACGACTGCCTTATCCTTGTACCGCCAGCATCGCGGCGACCGGAAGGTCACGGGTGTGATCTATTCGCATTCGCATATTGATCATTTCGGTGGCGCACAAGGAATTCTCCCCCTCGCTAAAAGTCATGATATCCCGATCATCGCACCAGAGGGGTTCATGGAAGAAGCTCTAAGTGAGAATCTCTATGCCGGTAATGCTATGCGACGTCGTGCTGTCTTCATGTACGGCACTGCTCTGCCCAAGGGCCCGGAGGGTCAAATTGGCTGTGGTTTGGGCATGGGAGTGCCGACTGGAGTCAACTCGCTTGTTCCACCCAATGTCTCGATCTATAAAACAGGCGAGAATTATGTCGTGGATGGGGTTCGGATCGTATTCCAAATGGTCCCTGGATCCGAGGCGCCCTCCGAGATGAACTTCTTCTTCCCAGATCACCGGGCATTGTATATCGCCGAGTGTGCGACGCACAGTCTTCATAATATTATCACGCTTCGCGGTGCCCAGGTTCGAGATACAAAGGCTTGGGCGCAGTATCTGGACGAATCGCTCTCGCTTTATGGACATTCATCAGATGTTCTTTGCGCGGGTCACGCGTGGCCGACCTGGGGCGAAAAGGAGATTGCGGAGATTTTATCGGATCAACGAGACATGTACGCGTTTCTTCACGACCAAACTGTGCGCATGATGAACAAGGGACTGTCAGGGATCGAGATCGCCGAGGTACTCACTTTGCCGCCGTCACTGCAAAGAAAATGGTACTGTCAAGGATTCTATGGATCTGTTAGTCACAATGTCAAGGGTATCTATCAAAGATACATTGGCTGGTTTGATGGAAATCCCGCTCATCTTTGGGAGCATCCTCCAAAGGAAAATGCAGCAAGATACATTGAATGCATGGGAGGTGTCGACGAGGTTGTTCGGAAGGCAGAAGAATTTGCAGAGCGAGGTGATTTGCGATTTGCAGCAACTTTGCTGGGCCATGCTGTCTCCCTTGATCCGACTCACATCAATTCCAAAATGGCTCTGGCTGGTGTCTTCACAAAACTCGGCTATGGGACGGAGAATGGAACTTGGCGCAATTTCTACTTGACCGGCGCTCGAGAGTTGGTTGCAGAAAAGGGTCACCAGCCACGACAGAATGTGGGCAATCAAATGCGACCAACACAGACTGTCGATCAATGGTTGACTTTGCTTTCAATTCAGTTGGATGGCCTCAAGGCTGGGGACTCGGTCTTTGCGGTTGATATCCACGTGGTGGATGAGGGGAAATGGCATAGAGCCAACATTAGCAACGGGGCTTTGACTCACAGAGTGGCTTCAGATGGCGCAGAATTTAGGGGAAAATCGGATCTCACTTTGGAACTCAAAAAGATTGAGCTTCTGGGGGTTCTGAATGGGGAGAATCAAAAGCAAGCGGTGCGAGAGGGTGACTGGTCGTTTGTTCCCCGGCTTCTGTCTTTGATGGAACACGCCATCCCAGCAGATACGAAGAAACCCCAGCTCTAAGACTTGATGCAACACTGAACCAGGCCTATGGTCTAAGAGGCTATGATACTCATTATCTAGCCAGACAAGGCTTTCTTTTCATCGGTTACGGCTTTCAATTCCTTTCATTCCCTTTTTGTCTATGGATGATAGACAAATGCCACAGATATTTTCGTAGGCCATAACCCAAGCCGCCAACACATTCAACAATTCCAGCCGAATGACTTTGAATCAGAAATTTAGCTAAACCCTCACAAAGAAAATGTTACCAGTCAAAGGCGTTGTACCACCAAGGTTCATCCAAAGGGCTTACCCCTCCCACCCGGGAAAGGAGCCTCAAACTGTTGAAGATCTTGATTTCTCATCCGATTTCGTTGGCGCTTTAGTCTGTAATTGAGCATAGGTTCTAGCTTGTCGCTAATAGGTGCATGCTCGATTTTGTCGAGTTCCCTGAGAATCATGTTGACCAGGTCTAGTGGAAGATGCTGACGGAGAATGAAATTTATCATCCATTCCCTCTCCGTCCTCCACGCCTTTCGCTGGGAGGAACATTCGCACTGGAGATAATTCTCACATGCGGGTCCACCAAGAACAAAGACAGTATCTTGCATGAACCTGGCAGGCGTTTGTCTGCGGTTATGAAGTTGGTTGAACGATGCTGCATCAGGCTCGGGAACGCCACCATCCTACCCTCGGGAATCTTCACTTTACCAAGTTCCTGGGTCGGAACAAGGTAGAAAGATTTGAAAGGATATAGAGGCTCTCTTTGGGGTTTGTAGCCGAGAATATCCTCCTGTATAGTCCTCCAATTCATTGTCCTGGCCCAAGCAGGTACATCTTCTTTAAGACCCTCGCGGGTCAACGCAGGATCAGGACTCGAGCGTTGGCGGAAGCACAGTTTGCGAATTGAGATATTCGCCACGTCGTAAAAGAGCATGGCTGTAGCACATATATGCTCGTTCTGGAATAATTAGAATTGCACGCATGGAAATTAGGCTGGGATAAACTCGCGAGGGCGCCTTCAACGCGCCAGGGCCCCCCCCAGGCCTCTGGCCGCCAGGACGGAGATCTACATTCTCAATTTTTGCGAATATCTGGAGTCCATTCTTTGCACACTGAGAGCGCAGGTTTGCATTGTTGATTGGTGGCTTGTTGGAACCGAATGTAGGCGGCTCCGGGAGGATTATTTGCCGATCATTAATCCAATCCCTGTAGATATCTATATGCGGTTAGTAGCCTGAGGGAATTAACTTGGATGGATGGCATAAACACACTTTCACAACGTTCGCACCCACCGGGAACATTTAAACTCAGTTTGGAATCCAAATGAGGCAAAAGGCCGCAGAGACCGCGGTGACCATCCTCCTTCCATTTCGGCATTGGTGGACTGAAATCAACCTTTTCATCAAATTTCAGACTTCGCCAGTCTTTTTGAACTGACGAAAGACTCTCATTCCAAAGTGGAATGGCTTGAGTAACCAATTCTTCCATGGTGCTGTAAAGGTCGGAGTGTTCTTTGGGATGCAAGTTATTGATGTATGTGTCGATACTACACCCCACGTTCTTGGTAAAACTCACATCAAAGGGTATATATTGCTGTTGCATATCATATCCCCTAATGTATGGGCACCTGACGGATGACCAAGAGGCATAGTTCGGATCCGCAGGGGAGGAAGCGGAGAAGATGGTTCCGCGTCGTGGAGCCAGAGAGTCGTTCCGCTACAGACTGAGAGGAGACAGTCGTCTTCTGTCTTGATGGTTTCTTTCAGTAGGACCTTTGAGTCGTGGAATGAGATAGCGCGCAAGCTAGGGTCCAAAGGCACCTGGTACTTATTTCTCACTATATCCTTGCGTGGCTCCACGAGAGGTATGGTAGCCAGGGTCAGAGCCTCGATTAGCTCGGGCGAGATGATCGTGTCAGACTTGGCTACCCCACCAAAGACACTGACGATTTTTGTCTTGGTGAAGCAATGCTTCCGCCACAGGAGCTCATCGACGACCCAGTTGATAGTCTCCTCTGTCTTCTCCAGAGAGTGCGTTCAAACATGCGTAGGATCTGGCGGGTGAGGATTCTTGGCTGGGAACACATCTCTTCCCAGTCCTCTCTATTTGTGATATCATTGATCACTCGCATTATCTGGACCTCCCTCCAGATATGAGGCCGGCTAAAATAAACTTCAGCTTGAGATGGCAAGGCCCGAAAATCATAAACTTGAATTACTCACCTGGCATACCCATTTTTAAGGTGACTCACATCGAGGCTGGATTATGTCGTGGCAGGCTCGTGTCGCTTTATCGACTTCTTGAAGTAGATCCTCTGCGTCAGGCTGTGATTGGCGTTGTTGAACTGCAATTTCTAGAGATCGAAGGGTACTTTGGAGGATTTCTATATTTTGAATGAATTTTGCAATATTGGCATCCTGGCCTTTGTATTCTGAATAGAAATCTACCAAATTTTGCGTGACTTGGATGCCTAATGAGAGGAATCCGGCGATGCCAGCTGCGATCGAGAGTGGATCGCTCATGGCGGTCGGCGGTGGCCGTCTCGCTCTTGTTCACTTAAGTCGACAATGGCCAATAGGCACGCGGTGTAGCGTCCTTGTTACTGCTTACTTAATCCAGGGATAGTCAATAGGCGTTCAGTGACGGGTAGAAAATTAAGGGAGGAATTGGGCGAAATGGAGGAAGAACAATAAGTATGGATGATCTTGATTCAGCCTCGTCAGGTAGATACCCAATTCCCCTCATCTGAGACCACGTGACCCGCTAAGTATCTTAGGGGCAATATAGCTACGGAGTATTAATATCGGGATACGTTCAGAGCAATATAAGTCAAAATATAGTGGTATTCAAGATACCGAGCATGAGGAGAAAGATCTTTAAAGAAGCGGTTGCTCGGCAACTAGATAAGCTATAGTGAGATAAAAGTATGGCTCTTTAAATCGATATGATTAAGTAAAAAGCGGTCCGGAGCCTCGTTTAATCATAATTCATCGTCGTCGTCGTGGTCGAGAACTATCGAGAATGCCTCAGGTGTAATTTGTTTGAGAATATCGGGGTCAAAAGGCCGGTTAATAGATTCATCCGGGGAGTAAACTATATCGAACCACTAAAGAAAAGATAAGTTCATATTGCGAAGGGTAAAAGGGTTGTAGTAGAGAGTAAAGAGATTCAAATGACATACTACGTCGGGGTGACCCGTCAGTTCTTCTATGATCCATCCAATAGGTCGTCTATCAGACTGACTCGCAAAGATTCTATTTGACTTTACATTAAGATCTACATGAGTAGTGTGATAGAATGGCGTGTCGTCCAGCTCATCAGACCAAGAGATCTTTGTTGGGTCGATTGCCCGCTCATCAGTCTTTTCATAGGCCTTCCAGGAAAACATTATGACTGGTAGCGAGGGTAAGTGCTGGGAAGACTTAATCTCCTCTATATAACCAGATATCAGCTGACTGAAAAGGCCTGATAGCAGAAAGAACTTTAAGAATCAGAACTTACTATACCAAGAGACTGTGTTTTCGATACTAGCCTGGTCTGCTAGATCAACCATGATAATAGCAGCATCACAACCTTCTATCCACCTAGCCCTATCTTGAGCTGTACTACAAGACCCAGACAGATCCCAGAAATCAATTTTGGCCTGCCCACAATCCTATAACCGATACCCATCCTATATAAGAAGATATTCATTCATGGTAGGGTATAAGAGGGAAATAAAACTCACAGTCAAGAAGTCGATTCTCACACGATTATAGCCATCCGTCGGGGTATATTCAGATTCATAAAAGTCATCTAATAGGAAGGATACCCAGCTTGACTGTAAAACAAAATTTAGGCTCAGTCATCCTTGTGCGATCCAGACGATATGACCTTACCTTGCCAACACGTGCGTCGCCAACAACTACTAGCTTGAGCGCTTTTTCAAAGATATCCATGTTGGAAAGATTCTGCGTAGAAAGAACAGCGTTGGGTCCAACATAGAGAGAATGCAGTTTAAGGAAAAGAAGGAGGGAAAGGAAAGGAAAGTTGAACACAGATAGGCAACTGTGGATCGAATGTCCCGTGACGGTGGGGGGGGAGTAAGTGGGGGCCGGGGCCAAGGCGAGGCAGGCCTAAAGCAAACAGCTATGTATGTACTTGTATGGACTTGTACGTGTTAATCCTTGTTTTTTATTATTATTACAATTTATTGTACAAGGCTTTCTGGAAAGGCTTTCATTACTTGGTTCACATTTGGATCTCTCTAAACAACCATTGAATACGAAAGTTTATCTAGCCCTGATATGTAAGGAAATCTTTTGCGAAATCTAAGCCAGAATTTTGTTTACTTAAATACATTTGGCACCTGTATCTGAGTTTTTCTTTTTCAACTCTTTTTCACCTTAAAGCCGTTGGGACCATTCACCTCGGTTGCAGGTGGTTGTTTATCATCCGCAATCCTCTTCAGGACGTCTTTATCACTGTAGTAGGTGTTTATATACAATGCTAAGAGGGTGAAGTTAGTCATTGTTCTGCGACGTCTATTCAAATACCTAGGTAGGGGAGAGAGAGACGCTTACCTCGTGCGATGATTGCGAATGAATCGCAATTGTGCCAGCTCGCATCCTGACCTGCGAGTGCCTCACACTCGGCATAACTATACTTCTCGGTTTTCTGAGATTTCCGATCAATTACAAGTGGAACTGCAAAACAAGAGCCATGGTTAGTTATTTCTTATCGACATGTACGTTTATGCGACCCTGAGGAATCTTACATTGCGTCATGTCTCCTAGATGAATCATCTTATGCACTAATGCTGAGCTGAGTTGAGTTCTAAGAGCATCAATAGGGACTTCTTTAACATTTGTGGCCAGGTTGGCAGCACTGAAATAAGATCCCGCAATACTGGGGTCGGTATCGTCACTGAGAAGGCCCTGATAATTGCAGAGAAGGATTCCCTTGTGAGTTGCACCTTGTGAGTAAATCGCGAGGCCCTTGATACCTGTTTTGTATGGCCTTTGAGAGGACCCTCTGTCCCTAAGGGAAAAAGAAAGGTCTTTGTATTTATCGTCTTTGTTCCGCACTAGATATGTGGGCCACTTCTTTATGGGAAGAAGATCAACAGGCACAGTGACATAGAAATAATCCTGCAGCGATCCTTCACCTCTTCTGAAGATATCCCTGACATTTGGCCCTTCGGGTGCCTTAAATTAGCAACCTGGGGGCCAAAGCCAAGCCGCTACTGTTACGAGTTTTGGGGCCATTGCAGGGGATTAGAGCTGGCCTAGTACTCCGTATGGAGTACAGTCTCATTCTTTGTGGCAGCTTACCCGAGTTCAGTATACCTCATAGTGAGGGACTTTCTATCTTGCCCCCACTTAGCAGTCATCAATTGGCACTTAGCAAAATGATCTGTGCCGCGGAAACAGCCCTTTCTAATCTATTGTAGGTGTATTTATTTCTATCTAGTGACATTATAAATCAAATGTCATGATTTGGCCCTAACCGGAGTATTCTCTATAAATGATTTGCACCCGCTCCTCCGGGCTCCCCAATCAATGAAGTTATCCCGAACATGGCTACCAAAAGCAGTCTCTTGTTAGTGCTTCCCATTTTATATGGAGCTAGCGCGGATTGGACCACGACAGTCAAAACTACTCTTGTTGTCCCTAATACCGTTACTCCTGTTATTGACTTTGTGATACCTCCGCCGGCAACCTCAACGCCCTCATCGTCAGCTGTAACCTTATTGCTATTTACTTTCGATCATACAAAAAGCCATAAGCTGAAGCTTACCTCCGTGGTCACTGTGCCGGACGGCCAAATTCCCACTGTCCACTTCAGTCCCATTACTTCGTCTACCAACACTGGGGCCGTTGACCCGTCCTTCACTTCATCGACTTAATCTACCGGGACAGACGGGGCTTCAGAGACCGAGGGATCCTCTGAGGTCAAATCTTCGGGCTCGACACCTTCACTTACAGAGTTAACTGGACCAAATGCTCCAGGCTCATCTCCTGCCGGCCATACAAGCTCCCAGCCACTTATCCCTAGCGGATCTACGCCATCAGGCCCTGCAGCTGGAATTCCGAGCTCTAGACCAACTATCCCAGACTCAACCGGATCAAATACAGCAAGCTCCCCAATCAATGGACACACAAGCTCTAAGCCACTCATATCACATGGCTCTACGACATCAGATTCCCCAAATAGGCCCACAAACACAAAGCCAGATGGCGTAGGTTCGACTCCTTCGGGTTCGACTGCTTCGGGTTCGACTGCTTCGGGTTCGACTGCTCCAAGCTCTACTCATTCTAAATCTTCTGGTGGAAGCTCAACTTCAGACTCCTCGAACGAGTCATCCAGTCCTCGGCCTAATAGTCCGGACGAAACTGGCTCTAATAGGCCAAGCAGCAAACCACTTATCCTAAGTGGATCTACACCATCAGGCTCTACAACTAGGACCTCAAGCTCTACCCCGGGGAACTCTGCAAGTAACTCAGCATCTACTACTTCAACGCCTCTTTCAGATAGTATCTGTCAACTGGAACAGTAGCATCGTCGGAATCGCTTAGCTCATCAATTTACTGTAAGGAGCGAAAAAATTACCAGCGCCTGCCCAACAGCAAAGCTTCCCCCATCATTTCTGAGACAAATTTTAGGAAAAAACGCAAAAGTATTCTGCCCCAGAAATTTCAGCGCACTACACATACACATCTAATTACACTAATTCAGTGCAAATCTTCTATTAGAATTTTCCTCTTCCACCTAATTTCTTATAGACGGCCCTCAATATAGGCTGCGACTTAGCGCAGAGTAGAAGCTCTACCGACGCATGATTTTGCTTCAAGGTATTGCGCAAGTCTACTCAGAGTTTTAAATGTCTGAACAAAGCTAAATAGATGCTTTCCTCCTGATAGATTTGTTAGACAGTAGAAAATAGGGAGTACGTAAGCAGCAGAATATAGATGTTGCTCAAGGGAGTCTATGGATATAAATAACTTCGAACACTCCCAGCAACATACTTTTGCAGAAAACTTAAAATCATCTTCAGACAAAGTCTTACTTAAAAGAACTAGCTGAGACATAGAAATTAAATCGGCAGACGATGTACTATCTAGAGTATAGATAACATTATAGTCTGAGCTGCTATCGGAGACGTCACCGCGAAAATTATAAGAAGCAGCGAGGATATTTTAATCACAAACTACCTAATCAATGTTATATTCACAGACTAGCTTGTTAAGCTGGTTTCTGTCTATTTTAGAAACATAGGTACTACTTTTAAGGTAATATAGAATTAACGAAGGGGATCTAAAGTATTTTATGTATTACATATCAATATATTTCAGGTTACTAATTACGTTATAGGCTAGCAATTTCTTATATTACTTCAGAGCAAAATCAGTCAGAAAGCCCCTGTTGTATCTGTCGCATATATGGCTTCCTTTCCCTGGCCGAGGAATTTTATACTTCTTTATATCCTGCAGGTATTGCTCAAGAGCAGTCTCGTTAACAAAATCTCAATTATATTCATAGCACCGAAATTATTCTACATAACCAGGTGCCTTCTGATGACAGTACAGTTCGTCGGAAGTTCCGAAAAATTAATTATACAGACGACAAAAGCAGTAATCAGCAGATCTTCTGTATCGATTCAGTGCTTTAAGGCTACGAAAGCCGTTATCGTATCGACCATATATCTAACGATGAATATCTTGTATATAATTCTCTAGGCCGTCTAGTATTGTGAATTTTCGGTTATACTTAGGACATTTGCAACTATAAACCGCTTTCCGATATTGTCGAAGGTCTATACTATTTGCGAACTGCCTGCTACAGTCACAATTAATTATTATATATAACAGTCGATATACGTAACCTGTCAAAATCCTAAGGATCGAAATAAGAATATTTCTTAATCTTCTATAAGAGTTATCTAGGGTTTTATAATTTATACAACAAGGATATCTAGTATTTATAAGATAGATAACGCAATAGGAACAAAATTTCGCGCAGGGAAAGGACGGCTAACTTTAGACAGAATATTAGCCTGGCCTACATTGTACTAAGACTTTTCAGAAAAGAATTCTCACATTCCTCAATTCGTATTTCCAACTTCATCCACTCTTATGATTTATTTTCGCAGATACTACCGGTAAGGAGGCAGCCCAATATTCATAATAAGGCAGATAGCCATTCTTTAGCGTCACAGAGTAGGATCAGGTTACGCCAGGTATAAACACGTACGACAACATATTTGCAACCAATGTTGCGCCTAGAGGCTTCAGGCAGTGCCAGCATACATTTTCAAAGTAAATTCCTAATTACCCAATACTATATTGCCGGTAAAAGCATGAATTTCGTATAAAAGCCTATTAATCTACAGGAGAATTACCAGCAGACTTAATAACGGCTAGAATATTAAAAACGCTTTAAAATCTTTCTGTTAGCTTTGGTCTAACTAGCTCTAGTATTTTTTATATTAACTGTACAACCGTTACCTTTAGGGTAGAGTATAGGACAGACTAGAAATTATACTCAAAAATGCTCAAAAATACCACAGAACCCAACTGCTGATTTTTGTCGATTTCCGACTTTGAATTATCACAAATTTGGCATTCTAGGCGTTTAGTTAGAAATAGGGGCGTAGAATTTCCTTTTTAATCTTCCTAATACTAAGAAGGTCGATTTATATTACCTTGTCTAAAGTAATATATTTTCTCGTATATATCGTAAGACGTACTCTAGTAGTTCGGCGTACTATTCTGTTCTGAGTACTTCCTTTACAAAAGACAACGGTGAAATTCTTCTTAGTATATTATTCTCCTTATAACCAGAATCAGCATCTAAGTTATATAGCTTTCGATATATCTGGGAAATAAATACACTGGTACAAACTAAATTATCGAGCCTAGTTATATATAAATCAGTAATCATTCCTGAAGATTTCTATTTCTTAGGGGAATTCTATTCTCAGTTCAACAGAGGCTCTGCTAAGGTTACTGAAAATATCTACAACTACAAATTCATACAAAATTAGGTATAAGATATCGACTAAAATTACCCTGAATAGCCTACTTCTAGCATTAGCTTTACTGTAGAAGGTCCTATAGTTCTCTTCTACTACTACGATAATAGGATATCTGCTGACCTTCCTCACTATTTTTTTACTTTTTCTCTCTTTATTATAGGATAATTTTTTTTTCTACCAGATTCTAACCTGTTTCTGGACATTAAGGCCTGCTTATATAGAAGCGTTTATTATAAGATTAGCTAGGAATAAAAAACGTGCTAAGCATACATACAAGTGCCGGCTGAAGCTTGTCACTTATATCTGTAAGTAGAGTTAATTAAGCATCCTTCAAGGCATAGTAGTTAACAGCGACTTATAGATAATCAACTTAGGCTTAAAATCCATCCAAACTAAGTTTGCTTATAGCCCCGACCCAAAGATAGCTATACGTAGTAGGCCGCAGAAGGATTCGAGTATTTATTAAAATTAAGCTTAAGTAGCAGATCGATCAGCGTATACAGAAGCATCATTAAAAATTTAGGTCACTTAATTGCGGTTATCGATCCGAAGACTTCGACTCAGCACTGTATAGTTCCGAGCAATAATAATTCTATTAAGGTACGTCCTTACTCTATACGATAGATCTTCTTAAGCCAGGATAAATTATTAATATAATTTACTTATGTCGTAATGGCCGTTGTAGAGGCCGTTTATATAATTAAAGAATAGGTCTTTTACGCCTATTATCTGTCAGCTAGAGTACGAGAATAAAGAGCTCAATACTAAGCTTAAAAATATACTGTCACTCTCTAACATATTAAGCATAAGGATTGAAAAATAGGAAAGATAGGCATAAGCTATAGAGCAACGGCTAATAGAGAGCCAAAGCCGGGTGGCTCAGCTTGATAAAGAGTTGTAAGAAGGAGCAAATACAGCGGTGAATCTATTACAGAGTTTCCGGGCTGTACAGACAAAGTAATACGGTACTAAATACAATAATACATTGCAGTTACGTAGTCAAGAAGAATAGACTTTATAAAGCAGGCGCCTTATATAAATAAATAACGTCTATATTATATTATATTAAGAGGCCCATTCTAAACCTTAATTTTAAGTTTAATTATGTATTCTCTTATATATATACATCCGATCTTACTCTTCTCACATTATAGTACCCGAATTCGCTTACATTGAATTAGCTTATATTAGTTGTAATCTTCTACGTAATCAACTCACTAGGAAATAATAAATACACAGAAATTTTTTTAAGATCATATAGCATAGATTATATTTGGTCCCTACATATTTCTCTTATTATAGACTTTTAGGTTTAGAACAGACGTACAGAGCACCTTTTAAAATATACGATAGAAATTATATAAATAAGCAGAATTACTTATTGCTTGGCGATAACTTATACTATAAGTACTATAATATTGTCCTAGGGTCGAGTAATATAATCTAATATAGCTAATATGCTCAAAGAACGGTTTTATCTATACTAGATAATCGCAGACGGACATAAATACAGCATACTGTCTAAGACGTAGAAGCGATATATACATTCATCTGTAAGCAATGTCTCACTGGCTGATTCAAAGCATAGCCACTTATCGTATTCAGCTTTTACGATATAATCTGTTTAGTAGAATATCTTATTTCTAGTACTATTAACGAAATACCTTTTAAGTACTTTATTTTGAGCATACACCGTTTTCTTAACGAGAATCACAAGAGCTGTATATAAGATATAGGGATTCTTTTATTTTAGACTAGCAATATAAGGGGGGAAGTTAAGAAAGTATACTTCTATAATAGAACATTTCATAAAATATAAGTGTTAATTTTGCCTAAGACTAGCTAGTACATTTTATTAAGAGAGCTAGGATAGTATATAGCTACCGGGAGTATTACTATATAATATATACTTTTAGTTTATCGTAGCTAATATCCGTAGCTAATAGCCTGGTAAAAAGGTATTGCTTTAAGTATAAGTAAGCCACTGGACGAAGGCCTAGGGGCAGGGATATTAACAGAAAATTTGCCCGCTGTAACCGGCATCTTTATTAAGCGTAGGGTAGGAAGATTAGGAAATCGGATCTAAGGATTAAAGCTAATTAAAATCAGAGCCTTATTATCAGGTAGTATACCCAGAGAAGATATTAAATATAGAAGAGAACGCTTATCGAAAATAGCGTGTACTTTTCTAGTACAAGTATCAGGACAAAGAAGTTAGGTAAGTTTACTCAGCGAATCCTCCGTAGGCCAAAGGTAGACACTGCAACTAGAATATTACTCTTCTGACCCCTCGACTAGACAGCCGTCTGCTTCAAACTAGGTATACTTAAATAAGAAGCCGGTACCCTCTTCGTCGATAGGATATTTTTATTTGCGTAAGACTGTTTGTAGCCAAATCCGGTCATACGATCAAAGTCCGTCTGCTTCTAGGGCAGGATTATTGACAAGATCTATAAATACTGCTGCAGAGAGGTAGTAGCTATAGTACTTTGTATACATAGCGATAAATTCTTATCGGCTGTTATGGTAAAGTATATACTTAAATTCAGCGTAATAGTTGTAGCGCAGCTGCTTTTTAGGTCGCTAGGTAAAGGTTTGGCCATATATGTCGTAATCTGAGATATCGTTGAGATTATTAATCCTATTTACATTTTTATCTTTGTCATTATTTAACCATAGTAAATATCTTAGTTCTGCCTCGGCTACCTCTTCCGGCATAGGAAGAAGTTAAATATAGGTTGTCCGGTAATTCTTACTCTTGCCGTAACGCTATTCCCGGCGATATTTAATAATAACTAGATAACCGGTTTTCTCATTAGTTTAGATAGATAAGTCTGTCTATATCTCGTTGATAGGGCCCTTACAATGTTTATAACGCCAGACATAATTATTCTACTTCTAATCCTTTTGTCGGGGAGCATAACAGAACTAATAGTAGAAAGAAGAGAAGCGCTCGTTATTATTTAACGCAACTTATGTTGAGACGGTATATAGGTACTCCTTATATATCTTAAAGTATAGTGTTTGGCCTAGATCCCCATCAAATATACAGTCTAATTAAAACTTAACCGTGTCCAGTGTAACAAAATCTACACCAGAGACAGACCAGATACTATTAGAATTAGCGGCAGTAGATGTAAAACAACCATACCACATATACGAGCTATTATTTCGCACAAAGACGGGAATATTAGAAGGCATAACCGTCTAGAGAAGTAAGCGTCCCTGCCTAGTAGGACGGTGTTCTATATCAATAGCTAGTAAGCTATCTTCTAAAGTATTACTATTAATCATACGTAAGACTACAATACCGTTATTATAGTGGATAAGTTTAACCGACTCGGCGGTATCCCTGTCTATCAGGCCGGATTCTAAATAATAAAGGACTTTATAGAGATTAAGGATACGTTTACACTAAGCGATACGGTGGATATCTAACAGACGAATTTCTTACCCGGCCCGATAGCAAAGAAATCCTTGTTGATAAAGAAACTCTAAGCTATAGGCCAGAACAGATACTGAATAGGGAGCGGCTATAGCGACCGCCTTATTGATATCAAAGCGATAGGAGACAGCCTTATAATAACCAGCCTAGGCCTATAGGGCTATAGAGCCTTCTTTACTATTTTGTAGGAAATTCTACCGACTAAAGTTAGCTTCTGCTAATCTATGCGTTCTTTTAGCACCCTATAGATAAAGGAAAAGTAAAGAGAGGAAAGAGTTAAGTTTAGTCCGGCTTATCTCGATAGTTATCCTCGCAATAAGCTTGCTTTGTATAGAGTTATAAATTATATAATTAGTACGGCTAAGCTGAATAGAGTTATAATTATCCAGTAAGGTAGCGATTTAGTAGAAGACATCGAATAGGAGGTTATCCAGCCGAGGTAGCGGTATAGCGGGAGAGAGGGGATACTATATTTAACAGTACTAAATAGCAGGGGAGGCAGAATATATATAAAGAAGAGGAAGGAAAGGGGATAAGAGAAGAATATAATAGAATAGAATAGAATAGATAGAAATAGGGTGTTACGCGTAGCTAACTGGTCACGGTGAGTGGTTAGATCTGTGGTTAACAACTTACCAGTTGTTCTCTGTGTCGTTGGTTGTACGTGATATCTATCACTCGTAATCCTTAAGTATCGACTCGTAATCGTACCGTTGCTGTGCTAAGCCTTATACGGACTCGGATCCTGTAGAGTAACTTCGAAGGATGCGCCAGGTAGTGCGCCGAATAGGTCAGTCCGAAGAGCTCCCCTATTCGTAGTATGTTTGTCACAAGAGTTGAAACTGAATGAAGAATAATCCAAAGGTATACTGTAGTAACTTAGATTGATTGATCGCGAAGAACTAAATACATGTGCGTAGAGAGTGTCCTATATATATCCTAGTCCTTCCTATTCATGCGGTAGGAATCCTAGCCTACTGGTAGGATGGGATCCTATCCTGTCGTTGGGACGTCATGTGACCTTGTCGCATGTCCTCTTTGTTCCTGCGTTCAGCCCTATCGTACGATCGACCATGGCTTCTTCTTGCTTGTCCGGGAATCGTGGTCTATCGTGCGATAGCTTGGTGCGTGCGATACTCCCTGGCGTGGGATGGTGCGTGTCGTGCGGATCGTCCCGTCGTGGGACGGTGTGGTCCCTGCGACGTGTTTCGTCCTACGATATCGCCCATCTTACGGTACTAGGGTTCTGTTGGAGTATCTTATGGTCTTTCTACTGTGTGCCTTAATTATTCTGTATCGTGCAGCTCCTGGTGGGGATGCTATGGTTTTTGTTGTTTTCTGTACGTGACCTGCAGGCGGTCATGGTGGTTGCAGAATGGTTGGCTCTTGATGGCCCATTTGTAGGTTGCGACCCCTTACGTTGCAGGGTCCGTAACATTATCTCCCCCTCTCCTTGGTTCTCGTCCTCGAGAATCCTTATAACCGCTCACCCCCCTCTGGTAAGTGCCTGGTCTTTTTGTTTTTCTTGTTTTCCCAATGTTTTTCTGATCATGCCTTCTTCTGGGGTTTCCAGCCGTAAGCTCTACCAGTTGATCGAACGCGAGGGTTTTGAGTCTCTTATTCCTTGTCTTCGTTGTGTTGCCCAGAATAAGACGTGTATCCGATCCGATCGTTCCTATCGCTGTGCCGGTTGCAATCGCGCTGGTGGTACAGTGAAGTGCGAAATGCCCAAAGAGTCTTTTACCGATGCCGAATGGCGCCGTTTGCTTTCGTCCCAAACCTCCCTGGAGGACGAAGAGGAAAAGATCCTTCTCGCTCAGCAAGAGATGTTGGCTAAACTAGCACGCCTTTGAAAACAGAAGAGACTGCTGAAGAAGCGTGCGGGTGATTTCATCGCCCGTGATTATAAAGAAATTGCTGAGTTGGAGGAGCTTGAGCGTCGCGAGGCGGAGGAGTTGCAGCGCCTTGAGGACGAACGCCTCGAGTCCGAGTGAAAAGAGCGTGAGGCTGAGTCTTCTCGTGCCGCTTCCGAGAGGATCGATTATGCCTTGGTGCCGGACCATTAGGTCCTTGCGGCGACGTCTGAGGATCCTACTCTGACGCAGATGATTGCGTCGGTAGATCCCTTACCGTCTCTTTCCTGGGACGACCTGGACGCCTTTTTTGAGGTTGCGAAGTCCCCTTTACCTGTTGGTGGTATTGTTGAACCAGCTGGCGGCAGTCCGTCAGGTTCTCGATAGGTTCCTATGTGTTTTCCGAGGTATTGTATCCTTTCTATTTCACTAGGTAGTGAGGTTTTCTGTTAACGCGTTCTATGCTTAGGACGTTTTCGACTTTATATTCGTTTTCGGTTTCTTCCTCTATTTCCACATTTGTAGCGAGTTCAGCGTTTTCTGGTGCAGTTTTGAGTAACGAGATATGAAATGTTGCATGCATGCGTCGTATACTGTCTGGTAGCTTTAAGCGATAATTGACTGGTCCTGTTTTCTTTTTGATTTTAAATGGCCCCAGTTTTAGGTGGTCGAGCTTTGAGCTTGGTCGCTTGGTTTTGATGTTTTGACGTAGGAGGTATACCTTCTCCCCCTTTTTGAAGTCTGGTCCTTCCTGGTGGCCCTGGTCGTAGTAGTGTTTTATCCGTAGATTGAAAAACTCTATGTCCCTGGCCAGCTGGAGGTGTAGTTGCTTGAGTTCTGTGGCCAGAAGCTGCGATGCTTCTGCCTCTGTTTGTCTCCCGATGGTTTCTCTGATGATTGAGGGATTATACCTATAGTTTGCGAAGAATGGAGTTTCTTTTGTTGTTGCGTGTATAGCGTTGTTGTACGCAAATTGTGCCAGTGGCAACAGTCCTGCCCAGTCGTCCTGCTGGTAGTTCACATAGTGCCTTAGGTACTGTTCCAGTGTCTGGTTTGTTCGTTCTGTTTGGCCGTTCGTTCGTGGATGATAGGCAGTAGAGAGTCTATGCTCAATGCCTACTAAGTCCGCGAACGATTGCCATATCTTGCTCGTAAAGAGCTTGTCCCTGTCTGATGTCATCTTTTTAGGTGTTCTGTGGTTGGCGAATATGTATCTGAACAACAGGAATGCTATTGTCTTGGCGTTGATCGTTTCTGTTGTTAGTATTATGTAGGAGTACTTCGTTAGTCGATCCACAACTACCATAATTATATTGTGTCCGTCCGATTTGGGTAGTTTAGTGATGAAGTTAATCGTAATCTATTCCTATGGTCTCGTTGGCGTTTCTGAGTTCTGTAACTCGCTATATGGGGTGTATCGTAATGGTTTGTTTCGCTGACAAGTGTCACATTGCTTAATGTATCTTCGAACCTTTTTGTGCATATTAGGGATATAGTAGTTCCTCGAGAGGTGTTCCACTGTTTTTTCTACCCCCATGTGTCCGTGCGCTGGATCGTCGTGGTGTCGCCGTATGGCTTTATTCTAAAGTCGTTGTGGTACGTATACTAATCCGTGGATGTAGATCAGTTTATCTTTTGATATTGCGTAATTCTTCGTCATGATGTTCTGAACGATGATGTCTTTTATTGTTCCTTCTTTGATTTGGTTGATCTACTCGTTGTCCTTGATCTCGCTGGTGGCGGCCAGGGTCTGGTGATTATACACTAGATGACCGTCGTCGTTTGTTCTGAGTATAGCTGGAACGGCTTCCTTGACCCCTATTGCGTAGTCTGGTCTTCTGCTAAGCGCGTCCGCCTGGCTGTTGGCTGTGCCTGGGCAATGTTCGATCCTGTAATCGTATCTTACTAAGGTTTCTGCCCATCTTGCTTGACGTCTTGTCAATTCCTTTATACTGGTAAAGAATGTAAGGTTCTTGTGATCTGACTTCACTAGAACTTAATGACTTACTCCTTCCAGGTATGCTCTCCAGTACTTGAGTACTGACACTATGGCTAGCAATTCTTTGTCATAGATGTCATAGTTAAGTTCTGCGGGTATCATTTTCCTTGACCAAAACGAGATCGGTTGTGGTTTCCCGTCACTTCCTGGTTGAGTAAGTCGTGCTTCGAGTGCATAATCCGATGTATCGGTTTCTACTGTGTATAGTTTGCTTGGATCCGCAGGTGCAAGTATTGTTCGTTCAACGAACAACTTCTTGAGATTTTTAAACGCTTATTCTGACTGGTCGTCCCAGACCCACTTCTGGTCTTTCTTCGTGAGTTTGTTGAGGTTAACCGCAACTTTCCTAAACCCGTCGACTGAGCGTCGGTAGTAGTTGCACAACCCCAGAAACTGTTGAACTTCTTTCACGTTCTTGGGCGTTGGCCAATCCAGAATGCTTCTGACTTTTTCTTCTTGTATACCAAATCCGTTTTCGCTGATTACGTATCCTAGGAACTCTGTTTCCTTGACGTGGAATTCATACTTCTTGAGTTTAAGTGTAACTTTAGCTTCTCTGAGCTTTTGCAGCACCTTCTTGTTGTGCTGGACGTGTTCTTCCATGTTTTTAGAGAATACCAAGATGTCGTCGAGATATGCCATCACGAAGATGTCGAGGTATTCCTCTAGCGCACTGAAGATGAATTGTTGAAATGCTGCCGGTGCATTTGTGAGTCCGAACGGTATGACCGTGTATTCGTAATGCCCGTATCTTGTTCTAAACGCTGTTTTCCACTTATCGCCTTCTTTGATCCTAAGGCGATTGTATGCGTTGGTGATGTCGTATTTGGTGAAATAAATACTTCCCTGAATGCGATCTTGTATTTCCTGAATGAGAGGCAACGGGTGTCGATCTTTGATGGTAATCTCATTTAGATGTCGATAGTCTACGCAAAGTCGAAGTTCGTTCCCTTTCTTGGGTACGAATATAATCGGATATCCGGCTGATGATGATGACTTCCGGATGAATCCCTTCCTGAGGTTTTCTTTGATATATTTCCTCAAGGTTTCTATTTCTAATGGCGATAGCTGATAGATAGGCCTGAAGGTTGGTTCCTTGCCTTTCTTTAACCTGATCTCGTGGTCAAACGGACCATGCTCTGGGAGTACACCGTCTGGTGGTGCCTCAAATATATCCCGGTACTCTTGGTATTCTTTAGGTATCTGTGTCTCTTCCTCTGTTGCGCAGAGGGTTTGTCGTGATTCATGGTGTATTATGATGTAGTCTCTTAATTCGTCGTCCGATATGTCTGGTCTTTGTTCCGTGGTCGCGAGGACGTCTATATCTATGATCCTACCTGATGCCCCGCCTCTGGGCTGCCTGCTCTGTTTAGGGTCAACCTCGTACGGGCCGCAATAGGTACCTGCCGTCCCGGGGCTAGGCCCTTCAATGCTCTGTGGTTCTTTTCCAGTCTATCTGGTTTCTGTTTGTGTACAATCGCAGTGGTCGAAGTGGATTTCGTCCCTTTGCTAATCGATCCTTGGGCTATGCTGGCGTAGCTAAGGAATACTAAGTACCACATCGTACCCTCCTAACCCTGTGACGTCAAAGCATATGGGTTCCAGGTGGTTGCCGATGATCATGTTGATTATTTCGGTGTGGTGTGTGATTCCTTCGTTTAGCTTTTCTCTATTGAGTCCGACGAGAGGAGTAGCAATTCTCTTTTGGATAGTCGGTACTCTTCTGCTTGAGGTGTATTCTGAGTCTATGAAGTTTCCTGCAGCTCCTGAGTCAATTATGACTCGTGCGCTGATCTTGTCTCCCCTATGGAAAGTTATCAGTGCTTCTGCCTTCATGTGTTTTCCCTACGCTGTTGCCGCGAGAACTTGTCTCTACTCTGGGCGACGTAGCCGTGGCGATGGCTTGGGTTTAATTCCTCCAGCATCTAGCTTGCCTTGCATATGCGTCCTGTATGCGTAGTCGTAGCATCCGATCGTTGCCCTAAGGTTATGATCGGGATGTTGTGCGTATCCTATACAGGCGCAGTCTTCCCTGTGGCACGGGCATATTCCTTCTGTGCTGGTGACGTATGGTGCTGGTTCGTCGTTGTCTGATTCGTTAAAGAGGATCCTTCGGGGGTCTCCAGGGGCTATGCCACCTGTCTCGTAGACCCGTTGTAGTTCTTGTTCCTCTTGGTAACTCATCCAGTAGCCCTCCGGTGGGGTCTCTGGGATTTCCTGTATTTCCTGCTCGGTAAGAGTTGTCCATCTTTGGAGAAGCTCTTAAACTGTCCGAGGGAATTCGTCGTGTCTTGGGGACTCTTGAGGCGTTTCTGGGGCTTCTGTTGTTGGTCCCTGGGAGTCAATGGGTTCCTATACGTGCTGGGTCCATCCTTGACTCTCTACTGTGTCCAGGTCAATCCGTGGATACTGTTCCTGTCTGTCGTACTCTTCGAGCTCAGAGTCGACTGAGGTCATAAGCTCCTGCGTTTCAGGTTCTAGCTCTGCCTTTCGTTCATTGGTGCGCAATGGTAGCCATCCTGCCGCCCACTGTTCTTGTAGAATCACGCTCTTCCTGACCCGTTTTTCCTGGGTCGGCGTGTTTTCCTCCTGGGTAGCGCAGAGTCGCTGTACTTTTTTCGTCCCAGTGGTGTCGTACGCTCCTCTTTCCTGAGTTGCGCGTAGTTGTTGTGGTCTCTTGTCGTCCTTCTTGCTGCGACAATCTCTCGACATGTGGCCTGGCTTGCCACAGTTGAAACAGAGTCTGTTGTCTTTCCGACGCTTCTGTTCTTCTTCTGGGAGTCTCGCTGCGTCGAGCTCCATTGGTCGTGGACCATACGGATCGCTGTTCCGGTTAGGTTGCTGTTGTTGTCGTTGAGGCTAGAATCGGTGATGGGTCGGGCGTCCGTTGCCTTTTCTCCATCCCTCTACCTCTTTCTTCTGCATTTGCCTGTCGAAAAACCTGTTATCGATTCGAACCGCGAAGTCGATGAGTTTGTCCATTGTGTTGAAATCACCAACTCTGGCGATTTCGTCCTTAATGTGCGACTTGAGTCCTTCATTATAGTAAGGAATCAATGCATAGTCGTCCCATCCAAGGATAGCTGCTTGTTGCATGAATTCAGCCGTGTATGCTGATGCTGAGGCTGTCTGTCGGAGTCGC